CCCCGGGCCCGCCCTCGGCCGCGCACCGGCGCCGCGCTGGGAAGTGACCTAAGCTGAGGCGAGGCGCGACTGGTCTCGCCGGCTGCGCTGTGGACGCGGGGCGCGCGCACCATGCCCGTCGAAAGGCCTCCGGGCGCGCGGGCGCGATGCCGACCCGGCAGGTGGGTCTCGACGCTCACACCGCCCCTGCCTTCCGCGGGACACAGGCCGGCGGCCTGCGCAGCAGTCCCTGCGCTGCCAGGAAGGGCGTTCCGGGGTTAGGGGCCCCCTCAGGTCGTCGTCTCCTTTGACCAGGGGGAGGCACCGAGTTCGGAGTGGTGCCTCCAACGGGACTACCTCTGGGAGACACGAACAGAGCTCGGGAATTGGGAGTCCTGCGTGGGCAGGGCCGGGGTTCTGCCACTCGGGAGGCCAGTTTAACCAGTCCGTCCCTGGGAGAAGCTATCCAGGACAGGGGCGTTCGGGCTCCCAACCGTTGAGGCCGCAGAGAAGGCTCCTGCGCCCACCCACGCAGGCTGGTTCCAACCCCAAGGGCGGGTCTTGTGGCCTGAGAAGGACTCTGTCCAACGTTGAGGGAGAGGGTTAGGGAAAGGAACTTGGGACGCTGCTGGGACCGCTGTGCCTAGCTTGGCGCCCCCAGCCCTCTCCTGGTTGGGAATTGTTGCTGGGCCAGCAGCTTCCAGGCGGGTTTCTGTAGGCAGAGCGAGTGTCTAATATCCACCTATCTATACCCCCAGCCCAGCGCACCCCACGCCATCCCACCCTTGGTATCAGCTGAGTATAACCCTGCCTCCTGCTGGGACTGGCAGCGTTCACCCTTCATCTCTTTACTCTTGTGTAATCCCAGAAGCTACAGGGGATTCTAAACTGAGCAGCAGGGGCCTGGCTGGTGCCGACTCCACCAGAAGCCAAGCTTGGGTGCTCAGCCAACCACCAAATGCCAAGGACAGCCCAGGACCACCTGTCCCAAGCGCTGGCCAGCCCCACCCAGGGCCTGCAGACTGGGAACCCCAGCCCCACGCTCCACATCTGAGACCTGCCCCTTCACCTCTCCTCCTCCCCAGGTGCTGTCACTAGTCCCACCCCAGTAAAGAGCTGCTGGGGCTGGATGGTCATGGGGGAGCCTGGTAGAGAGGAGTATAAAATCCAATCTTTTGATGCAGAGACCCAGCAGCTGTTGAAGACAGCGCTCAAAGGTGAGCATGGGAAGCCCCCCGAGCCTGGGTCCGGGCCCACGGGGACAGGACTGGAGGACGGAGCCTTAGCTTGGGAATGCCCAGCCCTCTCTTCCATTTCTGAGGAGTCAGGAACGTACCTCTCGAACTGGAAGACAAGCTACATTCAGACCAGGATTTAGGAGTGTGCATCATAGAGTCACCTCTCAGAATGTAAAGTCGTAAAGTCTTTTTTTAAAGTTGAAGTACTGGTGAAATGGGGGTGGGACACAGAGGTCACAGTTCCGGTCCCTTAAGTCCTTACACGGGACCCGGCTCTGCATTGCTGCAACCAGCTCTCTTGAATACGCCAAGCTGCCTGACTTGGGACAGAGGGGAGAGTGTTCTGCTTGGAAGAGGAGATAGAGTAATTGTCCTGGACCAAGGCCTTCCTGCAGCACTCAGGACGAAAGTTAGACTAAGCTAACCATTACCAGTGCCCATCACATGCCAAGCTAAGCCTGTGGGGGAGGCCCTGCCTGGCCTGCTCATGTCAGGGGTTCATGTGTGTATTATGAGAACACTTTCTGTGATATTGCTGTCAAAAAGTTATTCAGTGAGCCTTCCTCAACCTAGTGCTAGATGTGTCCTAAAAAACTAGCACTCTTTGGTTAGTCTCTGACCCCATAACCGTCCCCATTTCCTCTGGTTGGGCCACGAGGAGACTCATGGTTCGAGCAGCTCCGGTGTGGTTACTTCTCGGTATGTGTTCTGGATGCTTTGAACCTAAGCATATAACGGGAGTGCTTTTTGTAAACATCTCCAATCCTTAGGAGGGGGTGGAGGCAAATGTGATAATTAAGTAGATCGAGACTGCCTGCCTATCTTTACCCCAGATCCAGGCGCCGTAAACTTGGAGAAAGTGGCTGATGTGATTGTGGATCATTCTCTCCAGGACTGTGTGTTCAGCAAGGAAGCAGGACGCATGTGCTACGCCATCATCCAGGTTGGGTGGGGTTGGCAGAAAGGGGGAGATGCTTTGAGGAAGGTGCTTCAGGAGTGGGCAGAGGCCTGGCCAGCAAGGCAGAGATGCAAAGAGCTTCCCTCACAGGCAGAGAGAGAAGCAAGCCAAGAGGGTCCTCAGCCATGGAAGCTCGGGTGGGGGTCGCCACGGCGCTGCTCCCCACCACTCACCATCCTTTCCCTGGCTCACAGGCAGAGAGCAAGCAAGCAGGCCAGTGTGTCTTCCGGCGTGGGCTCCTCAACCGGCTGCAGCAGGAGTACCAGGCTCGGGAGCAGCTGCGAGCCCGCTCCCTGCAGGGCTGGGTCTGCTATGTCACCTTTATCTGCAACATCTTCGACTACTTGAGGGTGAGGCCCCAGCAGCCACCCTGTGTGGCAGAGACGGCCTGTCTCCTGAGGCCACTACTAAGCCAGTGCTCTGGCCCGTTCTCCCCCACAGGTGAACAACATGCCCATGATGGCCCTGGTGAACCCTGTCTATGACTGCCTCTTCCGACTGGCCCAGCCCGACAGTCTGAGGAAGGAGGAGGAGGTGGGTGGCCCTGGCACGGAGGCTTTCGAGGGCATCACTTCCTGGGGCAGGAGCCTGGTGGGGGCAGTTAAGGCCTGTCAGTTACAAGACAAGCTGCCAGGTCTGGAGTTTATCGACAGCAGAGAGCGGCCAAAACCTACTGGCTCAGAGGCTTCCGCCCCAGCAGGAAAGCCAACCTGTGACAGGAACAGTGAGAGCCCTGACCAGCTGTGGATAGATGGCCAGAAACCAAACCAGGGTCAGGCAGTGTGGGCAAAGTAGGAAAGCGGGGTTAAGTGGCAGTTTGGAGACAGGGCCTGAGTCCAGTCTGGCTCAGATGAAAAGACCTTAGGCAAGTCCCTGAACTTGCTTCACCTAAGATGTGGATAATACCCACTGGGCACGTGAGGATGAAGTGGAAAACGTGTCCAGAGCCAAGCACGGTGCCTGGCACCGCAGCAAGAGCTCAGTTAATGGCTGCTCTGTGAGAGGCTGGCCCTGCCTGGGCGGGGGTGTCACCTCCCACTGTCCCCTGCAGGTGGACTGCCTGGTGCTACAGCTGCACCGCGTTGGGGAGCAGCTGGAGAGGATGAACAGGCAGCGCATGGATGAGCTCTTTGTCCTGATCCGGGATGGCTTCCTTCTCCCAGTGGGCCTCAGCTCCCTGGCCCAGCTGCTGCTGCTGGAGATCATCGAGTTCCGGGCAGCTGGCTGGCAGACGACCCCAGCTGCCCACAAGTATTACTACAGTGAGGTCTCTGACTAGGCCTCCAGATCAGGCCTCCTCCCAACCCAGTAGTGGTCTTCGCCTCTCCCAGACACCTTCCCTTCCGACTTCCAACAGCTCCCAAGACATTTCCCACTCATACGGCAGTCCTGCCATGAATCCCTTCCCTCCTCCTTCAGGAATTGGGGAAGACACCACATAGACACCCCTCACCCCCCGCCCCACTCCCAGTCCAGCCCATCTCCTATCACCTTCCACCTGGGCCCGACAGAGAAAGGCTACTCCTAACAACCACCACACTGTGAAACCATTGGTGCAACAGCTAGCTTGGTGCCTCAGTTTCCCCTCTGTAAAATGGGTACCCATAGCCACTGGTGGGTTGCTTGGGAATGCCAAGGGGCAGAGGCACAGAGCACACGTCACACCAGAAACTGCGTTTTATACATTTTGTATAAGAACTACTTTGGAAACGAGCCTATTTCCTGCAGTTAGTTTTAATGAATGGCAGTACTGCAATCACATGCTAACACCAGTTCAGGGTGAGGGTTTTCTAATAAACCTTTCTGATACTAAAACTGCTTCCTTTCGTACCACCCAAACGTCCATCCCAAGCAGAGGGAAGGAAAGACTGGATGGGCCCTAAGTTTCTTGGGGGAAATCCAAGTCGATGTGTTCTTTGTAAGATGGGGCAGGGAGAGCGAGTTCTAGCCCACAGAGAGAGGACTAGCAAGCAGAACATCCTGCTCCATCCTTCCTGTGATACCTGCCTGCCCTTAAAGAGGAACTACAGCCTTGACCCACAGGTATTTTTCAAGGTAGCAGTGGCTCCCATCATTTCTTGCAGCAGAGAGCCCTGGGCTTCTGGAGCCTCTGCCCTCCCTCTACCACCAGCGGTAGTGGGCCAGGGCTCGGTTGGCCTCCGCCATCTTGTGCATGTCATGCTTCCTCTTGATCACAGGGCCCTGGTTGTTAAAAGCCTGCAGCAACTCGTGTGACAGCTTCTCCGGCATCAGCATCCGCCGGTGCTTCTTCTCCCTGCACTCAGTAATCATCCACTTCATGGCCAGGAAGCGACGCCGCTGGTCGGCTAGTGGCACAGGAACCTGCCAAGATAGGACAGGAGCTAGCTGGTCCAAAAACTGGCCGCCTGCCGCCTCCTTCCTCCATGAGCTTTAAGGAGTGGACACAGGTTCCCTCTGAGCCAGCCCTAGCAAGGCTCCTGAGAGGGGCCGGTCTTTTCTTCTCTGAGCTTCCCTCACCCTTGGGTGACCTCCGTGTAGCAGACATAGGAGGCATTTATTGAGCAAGTGTTCATTAAGCACTGACCTCTTTCACCTGTAAGCGGAAGCTCAACCAAGTTGATGATAACAAGCACCAATTGGGAAAAGCCCCGTCAGATGGTGACTTAGCCAACTCAGATGGTGGATGCCAAAAAACAAGACCTTGGTCCAAGAATCATTTGCCAGGCCCCCACTATGTGCCAGGTATCGTGCCACACCCTAGGGACATGGACATTAATGAGAACGTCTCTACCTTTATGAGGTTTACATTGAAAAAGGAGAAGACGAGACACCCACTTTTAACAATGAAAAATATTAAATGCTATAATAGAGGCACCTACTTCAGTTCAACAAATGGTGATGAAGCAGGTCAAGTGCCACGCTAGACACTGGTGTACAAAGATGACGTATAAACATAGTCCCTCACCATGAGAGGCTTACAGATTAGATCACAAGATGCTGGACAGAAGTGGGTGGGTTCCAGAAGAGATCACTTGGATACCTTGTTCTCTTCCATTTTCTGCACGTGATTTTTATACTATGGGACTCAGAAGATATCAGATCCTGACAGTTCTGGTCCCTAGAAAGCTATCAATCTTGACCTAACTCTTCCTGCCCTGATCACTCACCTGGTAGAAATGGCCACCCTTGAGGATAGGTACCAGCCCAATCACAGGCTCACAGTTTTTCAGAGCTTGGTGGAAGATGGTGTAGGGATTTCTTTCAATGGTTGCCTGTTCCTCTGCAGGAGCAGCATGGTACTTCTCAAACTGCTTCCTTTTCACAGCTTCCAGAGTCTGCAAAGGGATACAGTCAATGGAAGAGGCTGTCCCCAGACTTCCTAAAGGATTTAGGAAGCTGAGCTGGTATCTTGCCCTTTAGTCCCATTACCCAGCTCTTCTATAGCAGTGCAGCTCCTCCCTCAGCACTTCTAAGACTAAGTTCTTAAGTGCCTCCCTCTTTCCTGGATTAGGACAGAAAGAGGGAGCTAAGATTGATTGGGTGGTGCTGGAATGGCAGTTGTTGACTCCTGCAGCATTTCATTAAAGCCCCACCCCAACACAGACACACAGGGAAGTTAATTTTAATGACAAGTATATGAATCCCTTCTTTTTTATGCAACTGAAAGCCAAGTACAAAGCTATAGGGGAAAGATGACAGGAAAGAGGTACTCTTTACCTGTGTCATGAGGGATCTGGCCAGTACTTTGTTTCCTCCTTTCATCATCATGTTGGTGAATTTACTTCAAGGAGAAAAGCAACAGGTTTAGCTTTCCAAGGCTGTATCACAGACTCCTTACTGTAGCTCCTCCCTTGTATTGTCCCAGTAGAACAAAAGTTTTGTTTTCATCTAACCTGATCAATGGGTCTTCAAACACAGAGCTTGTTTTCGTCGCTGGGGTAGCTTTGATATGCTGAGTCTTCCTGAGCTCCCGATCCATCTTCTCTTCCTCAGTCAGCTCGGCCAAGGGCTTGCGGTAATATTCCTTGTCAATCTGGGGGTCCCTGTATTCAGGACCATAGCGGCTCCACCTCACCTGAGTTAGCCTGGGAGGGTGGGGGGCGGGGAGAGAGAAACAGAAGAGGCGGGCAAAGTTGACTCCACAAGTGAAAAGTCTTGACTTAACAATAGGCATGTTTGCCAACCCGCCAAGAACAGCGCACACACCGCAAGCCAAACCTGAACTGCATAATTCTGGCTGTTGTCCTAAGAGGTAGGTGGGCCTCCCCCCAAACAGGCCCGAAAAGTCTCCTCGTCAAGTGCCAACGGTAAGGGCAGGCTCTTGAACTTCAGGATACGCACCCGCTTATGCATCTCTCTCCCCATCTCCCAACACAGAAAACCCCAGCTCTGAGCTCTTTTAGCAAGACCGCACTTTCAGTTCCGAGTTAGAAGATCCTCAGGCAGAGGACAATCACTAAGCCTTCAGACTGGCCCAAAGTCACACAACTAGTTAAGAGGCTTGGAATCAGATACCCCGGCCCCCAGGCTCTCTCCAGCGCTCCTCGCAGTCTGCCTGTGGCTCCTTTCCTTCCCCGCAGGTCTCTCCGTGAAGACCCAAGCGGCCCCCAGCTGCCCGCCACCTTCTCACCCTGGAAACCGCAGTACAACACTCTGCACGCCCAGCGTTAGGCCCGACCACCCTCGCACAGCCTTCACTGCGGGGGCAGCCATCTTGGCTTGCCACGAGGACCCCACAAGAACTGCCCTCGGCGTGCCTGAGCAAGTGACGGACGACGGAGAAAAGGCTCGACAGGGTCCCAAATCTGCGCATCACCCCATTAACCTGGGCGTTAACAGTCTCTCACTCCGAGGTCCAAAGGGAAGAGTCAAAAGGAAACCCTCGCCTCCCATTATCAGTCGCAGTCTGGCGCGACCCTCAGTGGCAGCGCTCGCTCCTCTCAGGACCCCATGCAGGCCCCGCCCCGGTCCGTCTCTTGCAGGTTATCGCGAGATTTGAGGGCGCGGGGCTGGCCCAGGCGGCTGCAATATGGCGGAGACGGAAGGGGAGAGCTTGGAGTCCTGGCTGAGTGAGTATCCGCGGTCGCTTCTTCCTGCCCTTGAATACCGAGCTGCCCCGAACTGACCCTCTCCGTACCCCTACCCCCTCCCCGGGCCCCGCGGCGGCAGCCTGTGCCTTGGCTCGCCGTCACCGCGAGCATTCCGTGATCACGCCCCTTCTCCAGCGGGGTGCCTGGCCCCCGCCCGTCACCTGCTCCCAGTACTGCGGCGCCTCCTCTCTCTCCCACGCGCGTCGGCGTGAGCTCGGGTCCTGTCCCGGCCTCGCGGGCTCGGGAAAAGTGACAGCCAAGTGTTTCCGGCTGACATGCATTCGGCGCTTTGTGAGATTGTGGTGGGACCGCGGGCGGCTCAGCCCCTGACGAAGGGAAAGGCTCTGGATTTGGGCTGAAACTCCGGGAGCGGTGGATGCCACTGAGCATAGACACACAGCCTGAGAATTGTGATCGTGTATTCAAGGAGAAATGACCGCTTCGCGCAGGCCGAATGTTTGAAGTGAGAATAATCTATAAAGAACGATAAAGAACAAGAGCTCTATGTTTTTTCTGCAGTGCATGGTGAAGTCTATGCTGCCCCTGCCGCGCGCTCGTGCGCATGTACACACACACACACACTCTCTCACTTGAACATTTTAACGAGTCATTTGTTGGTAGCCTACTCTGAACAAAGCTGAGGAGCCCAGCCTGATCCTATAGTTATAGCGGTCTATTGCTGTAATTGCTAATGCATATAGTTATTAAGGAAATATAGGTTAACCTTTTTAGCTGGTAGTACTCTGCTGAAGGGTTAATAAGTTAACTTTCCTATGGACTAGAGGAGGCCTCTAGAAAGTAGACAAGCTGATGAGGCAGGTAGAAGACCTAGATATTATGTTTTGCAGGGATCTCTTATTTACTAGAGCCTCCAGATTCTTGGAGGGCATCACCTTCCTTAATATGAAACTCCCTTCAGGCAGTTGAACCTAGGTTACATTTGCAGAATCTTCAGTTGCAGGCAGGTCAGAAAGCCATATATATGGAACTGTTTGTTCTCCAAGGAGCTCAGAGTGCTCCAAAGACATGCATTTAATTCGTTTGTCCAATATCCTAGAGAAGCAGATATTACTGTCACAATTTCACAAAAAGAAGACATCCTGACTGATCAAACCACTGGCACAGAGCCCCCCAACTAGATATAACCACACTGGAATTATTTTGATTCACAGGCATTAATGGGGACATTGGAGTAATTTAAGTGACCTAAGCTGAGTTTAATAGGCTAGCATTAGAGTTATAATTTGAAATAGGAGAGGGACCTGTTTTTGAGGAAGAGTGGAGCTGGTAACGGGGAATGAGATGATGTCTATAGAGACTACAGGTGGTCCCCAACTTATCATCATTCAACATAATTTTTCGACTTCACAGTGGCGCTTTCTGTAGAAACTGTACTTCAAATTTTGAATTTTGATCTTTTCCCAGGCTAGCAGTGTGTGGTAGGATACCTCATGTGCTGAGCAGCGCCAGCAAGCAGCAGATCACGAGGGTGAACAACTGATACTTGACAGTGTACTGTGTTGCCAGTACTTTTTTGGATATTGTGTTCTGAGCACGTTTAAGGTAGGCTAGGCTAAGCTATGATGTCAGTAGGTTAGGTGTATTAAATGCATTTTTGACTTAACGATATTTTCAACTTATGGTGGGTTTATCAGGATGTAACCCCATCCTAAGTTGAGGAGCATCTGTAGAACCGAGATCGGCCTTTGACCCTTTCCCATTAGAGTGATATTTGGGGCCGTGCTAAGACTCCTTCCATTCCTGTCCTCTGTTCACCTTCACAGTTCTTATAACTTAGTGGTGTGACCTGTACCGAGTACACGAATACAGTGCTTGGGCAAGGAGCTTTTGAATGGTGGCATCATTTATAGAAATAGGGAAGTCAGGAAGGAGAAGTGATGGGTTTGTTTTTAGATTTGTTTCTGTACCAAAGTAGCACTTATAATTACACACTGTCTTGTTTTTGCTCTGGTTTGGTCTCTTGTGTTGTGACAGAAGAGCATAACCCCCTTGAGGGTAAGATCTGCGTCTCGTGCTTTTTCTGGAATCCCTCCAGTGCTTACCGTGTATGTCCTGCATATGTTCTGTGGGTGCTTAACCAAGGCTTGGTGATTGACCCAGTCTCTGTTGATTCAAGACCCTAGCAATGAAGGTTGACTCTCGACTCCCTTTCCACCCCTTGTTCTTGCCTCCACTTATTTCTAAGTCATTTGCTATGTGTAACTTGTCATCTCTGGAATGTGTGAGCCATGTTGGGATGGTATGGCCAGTGCTGCGATTTCCATTCCTACGTGACCTTTTGAGGTCCCCTGACAGTCAAGGCTGGTGATGGAATTAAGCTGAAAATGAGAGCAGAAAATCTAGAGGCAAACACAAAGGAGAATAAGGCTTTCAAAAGAGACCTGGAAATAGAAACCTTGAGTCAGGATAGAGCCCAGATAGGCGGTTCTAGAAGGCAGGGTCTGTAGGGGAGGCTCTGGTGTCACCTCTGTGCCAGGTGACGGAGAATGTAGAGTGGGTGGAAGGTTGTGTGCATCTGCTGGGGGAGGCAGTGGCAGACGAAGAGATTCAGTCACCCAGAATGATCCCCAGAGGTTTCTTCCGTTTTCTGTGGGTGATTGAGGTGTCCTTTCTGAGCTGGTGGAGAGCTGGTGGAGATACTCAGAAGTGGACTGACCATTGTTGCATCCAGGGCTTTTTGTGCCCCTGTGTAAGCAGAGCGCTCCTTGCACGTTTGCAGTAGAAAGTTCTACCAAGATGAAAGGAAGTGGGATTCTAAAGAAGTTGAACACAGTGAAAAATAAGCGGGTGTATTCTTGGAAACAGAAATGCTGTCGGAATTCTCGCAGGCCTGGGAAGAATACGGCGTTTGGTGAATGCTCATTGCCTGTGTTCACGTGTGTGGGGGGGGTCCACATCAGACTCCATATTTTGGAAGATGCTTTTCCAGTTGCAAACACTGGAAGTGAGTGGGCTGTTTTTTCTTACACCACGAGGTATGTGAATATTCTCAAAATGATAACAGCGATGAGGGGGGTGGACATGGCTCCTGAGACCATCTTATTTTGTATCCTACAGCCTCTTGATGTCATGAGAGAACTTCAAGCATCTCAAATGATAGGGATTAGTAACAAAGCCATGCTAACACCTGAGAAGATTTTAGACAACTGGTGGGAGAGACTTGGGGCTTCTCTGGAAGCTGACAGCTAGTAGGTCACAGTGGCAATTAGTAGCTACTCTTGATAGAATTAATCTCTCTTTTCTTCAAGCTTGACATTTTGAAGGGCTTGCTAATTCTCTTTTCAAGATTGAGGACAGGCGTCTCTCTTTCCCTCTAAATATGAACCTAACCCATCAGAATCTTTGCAGCCAGAGCAGAAACACTGCCAGGCAGGTGCAGCGTCCGCTGGTGCTGCGGCCTTCCCTCTGCCTCATCGTTTGCTGACCTCTTGTGGCTGGGGGTGGTGGTGGCGGCGGTGGTGGTGGCGACCTGGAGTCCCTATTAGGATTTGGTCATGGAGCTAGTGATTTTTAATGTTAGAAAAAAAGGAAGTTAAAAAAAGTCACGAGAAATCAGAATTCAGGAACTTCTAATAACAGCCCTTGTTGGCAGGGGCTTTTTCAAGCCTCTGTCTCTCTGCTTTTGGCCCTTGTGGAAATCTGCAGGAGGAGTGTGCGTATTTACAAAGGATATACGCCTTCAGCCTTCCATTTGTCTTCTGAACTTGGAGCCCTGAATTTAGCAGACAGCTTAAGAGTGCTGTCTGAGAGGGGCAGACTCTAAGATCTGAATCAGAGATGGGAACACATTTAAGCACCCTGAGCTGTGGCGGGGATAAGAGGGAAAAGAGGACCCACACCAAGTATTAGGAGACTTGGCATTTAGCACCTGGATTTTAAACCTCAGTGGCCCTCTCAGAGCGCTCTGACACTTGTCTTCGTCCTTGATCATGGAAGACCATTTGATCCTGAGGGCACTGAATACTCAAGTTTAGATTCTGTTTCTGTGACAGAAAGAGATAGCATAATGATTGGTGCTTAGTAGGGGTTCAGTAAATGTTGTTAGCTTAACTCAAAATTATGGTTATTATGTGCAATTTAAAAAACATTTAAAACATGAAGTTTAGGTCTCAAAAAAGGTTTTGAAAGGTAAGTAGGAAATGTATTTTCTGAGTATGTATACTTTTTATCAAGTAACCCCACTTCAGTTTCTCCAGGAAATACTTCTTGATCATTCCTTCTTGCTTAACACTTAGCTTATTTTTATATAGGTGGAGTAATCTATTTTTATTTGTTATATTAAACATTTTACAGAGGTATCTATTTGAACATTTTAGTCACTTATGTTTATAATCATTTGTGTTCTGATGTACTCTAAGCTCCATGAGGCTAAGGATTTGTTTTCACTTTTGTTTCTGACTTTCAAATACTGGACAGAAAGTAGTATTTGTATGTGACTTGCTGCCTGAGTGAACTGTTGAGGCTTCTCTATTGGAGAAGATATTTGGAAACAAACTTACCTTAACATCAGTGGCTAAAAATTGTGAGGAAAACCTTCCATTGTGTTCTCCTTGCTCTTTATAACAATTGTCCCCTCCTTTTTCTGTCCCAAGATAAAGCCACCAATCCTTCCAACCGCCAGGAGGACTGGGAATACATAATTGGCTTCTGTGATCAGATCAACAAAGAGCTTGAAGGGTGAGTCTCAAAGCTATTCGTGGGCAGATGAGATCCTTGACTGGAAAAGGAAAAGTAAACTGAGGCCAAGGAGGCCTAGCCAGATGGCCCCAGGGCCATTGTCTTGAAAGTACGGTCTGCTTGTCTCCCAGGCCACAGATAGCTGTCCGACTACTGGCCCATAAGATCCAATCTCCGCAGGAATGGGAGGCGGTCCAGGCCCTGACGGTAGGTTTTTCATTCTCACGGTGGATCTTCGTGAGCCCAGGCCCTTCCCAAACCCTACCTAGAACATGTTCAGTCTGCTGTTGCACAGATGGGCGTGCTCTTGTGCCAGCCACTGAGGCTTCAGAGCGGCCAGCACGGCCACATGGTCTAGTGGGAGGAGCACGGCGGCTAAGGGAGGGAGCCCGAGGCAGAGGCCCTGAGCCCAGGGTGGGGCTCGGAGAAGAGACGCTGGCAGAGCTGTCTTGCCAGTTAAGAGTTGGCCAACTGAAGAAAAGTGAGGTATAATTCGTTCTGTAGCTAAAAGTAGCTACAGTGAAGGCTCACACCAACGGGTGGATCTCAGTGTTTATTCAGACCAAGAGAATTCAAGACGTGGAGCTGCGCGCAGCACTTGGCGCCTCCAGGCTCTGCCCTAAACCAGAGTGCAGCCGAGTTCCGGAAAGATGGGAGAGGAAATGGTCCTGGAAAAAGCGTTTAGACAGCCCACGTGCACACCTGTCATGTTCACTGTAGAGCAAAAGGCCTTAAAACAGTGGCTTTCAACTGGGGGTGTTATGCCCCCCAGGGGACATTTGGGCACATCTGGAGACACTAGGTTGTCACATGTTGGGAGGGTGTCATGTGTCTGGTGGGTAGAAGCCAGGGGTGTTGCTAAACACCCTGTAATGCGCAGGACAAGCTTCCACAACAAGGACTGACCAGCCCAAAATGTCAGTGATGGCAGTTGAAAAACCCTGCTTTACAAACACAAACCAATACAGGGAGCACTGGGGTGGCATGCTCCTTGGCATAAGTTGCAGGCACAGGAAAGCTTAAGGTAGCTTTATGTGCCCCAGCAGGAAAATAGACGGGAGCAGGGGGAGGGAAAATATGCCACCTAAAATGAAGAAAAAAATTTAAACATGATCTCCCACCTCCCTAAAATGTTGATCAGCTTGTGGCAAAAATCCTGGACCTTGAGTCAGAGAAACTGTCTGGGCCTCACTTTCGTCATCTATAGAATACGAGGGCAGAATTTTGCAGGAAGGCACCGTGCAGGACAGCCAGTCGATCTTTCTTGGTATTCGGGTTTCTGTAGTTCCTGTTAAGCTTTCCCAGAAGAGGTTTGCAATTTGAGAGACATGGGTTGTCGGTAACGCTGTTGCCCTGATGTTCCCTGCGGCCAGCTGTGCTTACATCTCGTCCTGATTAGTTCCTTCCTTGGGTGGATATTTACTCGGCGCTCCCTGTGTGCTGGGGCCTGGCTGAGCGCAGGTCCCATGCTGACCCGCACCCCCATTGAGCACCTGTCCTCTGTGCGGTTACAGGTGCTGGAGGCGTGCATGAAGAACTGCGGGACGAGATTTCATAACGAAGTGGGCAAGTTCCGGTTTCTGAATGAGCTCATCAAAGTCGTCTCGCCAAAGGTTAGTCAGCGGCAGTTTCCTCATTTCCTGGAACTTCTCTTGTGTCACCCCTTCTCCCATCGTACTGGCTTTCACTGCACAAACAGCGTCTCTGGATCTGAGATTGTCCGTGTCCTGTCTTTAGAGAGCTAAGCCCTGAGGGTAGCAGCAGGATGACCATGCAGGCCACAGGGACTGGCAGCCCTCTCTGGGACAGGCGGGCTCCCAGCCTAAATGTGACAGTGATGTGGGAGCAGCTGTGTGTGGATAGGGGCAGGCCTTTGGGCTCCTAGTGACAGCAGCCACTGTTCTTTGGCTGACCTCACGTGGATACAAGGACCTGCCTCCCATGGTACTCAGCTGCTCAGGTTCTATTTCTTGCCGGTGTTACTTAAGTTCTGGGCACCGCTTAAAGCAAAGGGAACAATTCTTCATACTAAAGACATTCTCGTTAACCTCTTTGGGATAAAATGTAGTTGTTTCTGGCAGATGGTGCATGGAAACTCAGTGACAAGCTGCCGGCCCCCTGCCTGACCACAGACTGTATCCCAGATGGGTACAGCTCTGCCAAAGGTAGTCCCCCTACCTGCTGTCTCACACACACCTGATCCCTGCTGCTTTCCCATAGGGTTAAGGACTGGAACTTGTTAGCAACCATTTCATTGCTATGAAGAGAGCCTTCCCACTGCCTCTGCCTCCGACTGCACTTACTAGGTTTTCCCGTTTTCTTTTGCTTCTTAGTACCTGGGGGACAGGGTGTCTGAGAAAGTGAAGACCAAGGTTATCGAGCTGCTTTATAGCTGGACGTTGGCTCTGCCGGAAGAATCGAAGATCAAGGATGCCTACCACATGTTGAAGAGACAGGGTGTGTGCCTACCTTCCCTCCACCTCCATGCTGCCCCAAAGGCTGGCCAGGCCAGGAAGGATGAGGGGGTATCTGCCGTCCCCCTGCTAAGACGGCGGGGAGGGCTTGGCTGGGGTTTGATCACAGGGATGTGCCCCGTTGCTGTGTGAGGAAGGGCCACAAGGTTTCCTCAGCCTGATGAACACTCTCCCTTGTGTCACCTTTCAGGCATAGTGCAGTCTGACCCACTGATCCCTGTGGACAGGACACTGATTCCCTCTCCACCACCTCGTCCCAAAAACCCCGTTTTTGATGATGAGGAGAAATCCAAGGTAAAGTGCATCCCGCCTGCAGCGTCCTCAGGCGAGGTGTGATCTTGCTTAGTGCTGCGGGAACTCCCGCTCCGCTGGGGTCGTCCCAGTGGGGTGCACCTTTCCCTTCGCCTTTGATACCCTCCTCTTCCAGCTTTTAGCCAAGTTGCTGAAAAGCAAAAACCCAGATGACCTGCAAGAGGCCAACAAGCTCATCAAGTCCATGGTGAAGGAAGTGAGTGGCCCTGGGCCTTGTTGCGTGGGGGGCAGGAGCCTGTGGCCCAGAGCAGAAGTCCCTTCCCCTGGCACTAGGCCTGCTGTTCACCCTGCCACCAGCCCTCACCTGGTGAGGTCAGAGAATGGAATGGAGGAGCAAGAGTAGATGGGGCCATTTTGGGGGTGAGAGAGGGCTGCTATTTTAAAAGAAAAACTGTAAATTGGGTCCAAGACCTGTGGTTGCCAAGAGTCAGGCATTAAGAGGAGCTTCCAGGGTCCGGCCTCTGCTGGGGGGAAGGTGTGGGCCTTGCTTGGAGGGCTCGGGGGCAGCGCGCCGGGTTTAACGGAGCACTTTCTCTTGCTCCTCTTGGACACAGGACGAGGCGCGGATCCAGAAGGTGACCAAGCGTCTGCACACGTTAGAGGAGGTTAATAACAACGTGAAGCTGCTCAGCGAGATGCTGCTTCATTACAGCAAAGAAGATTCTGCAGAGGCAGATAAAGAGCTCATGAAGGTACCGCCCCGCGAGGACCAGAGCTGGGCTCTGGTCTGGGTGCCTTTGCCAAGTACCTGCCCTGTTGACGCTGCTCCACACCTGTGGCCCCTAACTTACTGACCGGCACACCAGCCAGTTAGAGAGTGGTTGGTGCCCCCATTTACACAGGAGCCATGGCTAACTCACCCCATGCAGGAGCACTATGTATACACATGACTCTGCAGGCTTGTTGTTGGCCTTGCCTCCTGCAGAGGTCCCCTGTGCCCCTAATGTGGCACCTCAGTCCTTGGTCACATAGGTACTCTGAATTCTGAGCATGTGCCCGCCAGGGAGGCGGGAAGGGATGTACTTCCCCCTTGTCCGTCCCACTGACCTCTCCACCTAAGCAGGTATCTTGGGTGACACAGTGTGGTGGAGGGTGGTGGCAGAGGACTTGCACTCTGAGCCCAGCTCTGCCAGTAACTGCCTGTGGTAGCAGGGGAGCCCGTGGTTCTCTGGGCGGGAATGCTGAATTAGATGACTCCAAGGGCCTGTGAAGCTCTGGTTTTCATGCCTGGGTCTCTTTCAGGAGCTGTTTGATCGGTGTGAGAATAAGAGGAGGACTTTATTCAAACTAGCCAGCGAGACAGAGGACAATGACAATAGTTTAGGTGAGCAAAAGACTAGTTGACAAGGATGACCCAGGAATTTGGATTTGTGTGTGGTTGGGGAGTTGTCATGGCCAGGAATAAGAAGTCTCTTTTCTGTTCTAGGGGACATCCTACAGGCCAGTGACAACCTCTCCCGGGTCATCAACTCATATAAAATAGTCGTTGAAGGGCAGGTCATCAATGGTGAGGTGGCCACCTCAACCATGCCTGACAATGAAGGTAAAATGTTTGGTGCCCCAGTTCCCACCTCCAGGCCGCAGGTACAGGTTGAGCAGCTGTCAGCCCACAGGGCCTGAGGGGAGTCTAAGCCATTCCTAACGGCTCTCTAGCTGCAGAGGCCATGGCACACGGACAGGGTTCCCTACCTGCCTTTGCTTTTCTGTGTTCACCTGGCACAGGCGCCCTTAGATTAGGCCAGAGACTGTGCTCAGGGTTTTGCCTACTGCTCTGTATCCACTAGAGTGGCCCCTAATTATTTCTGTCTCCTGCTCACCCATCCAGGAAACCACCACTCCAGTAACCCAGGCACTCTCATTGACCTCGCGGAGCTGGATGCGCCCAGCAGCTCATCCCCAGTGCTGGCCCCAGCCCCCGAGCCACCCTCGGGCATCCCTATCCTCCCGCCACCCCCCCAGCCCTCAGGACCTGGGCGCAGCCGCTCGTCTAGCCAGGCTGAGGTCCCCCCGGGGCCCAACACCGCCAGCAACGCCATCTGCTTGCTGGATGAGGAGCTGCTCTGCCTGGGTGTGTCTGGGAGGGAGGCAGCAAAGGGCTCTTCCAGCAGAGCCGGTAGAGAAGACAAGATGGCGCGGGATTGGGAAGAGGTCTGAGGGGTGTCCCGTGTGCTTAGCAAGGGTCGTGAAGGGGACTTCAGTTGTAGGGAGAGTCAAGTTCAGGGGTCTCAGGCCTACAGGGCCGTCTGTACGTGGACTTTGGGGTGGAAACGGTAGATCCCAATGTCTTGCTCTACTTCCCTCTCCCCTGGAGCCCCCCCCCCAACTTGAAGGACTCCCCTCTGGAGGTTGCCTGTACCCTCTCCCCACCGACGGACGTCATTTTTGTTGTGACCCTTCCGCGGGAAAGGTAGGGCTGGGGCTGCCCTAGCCCAGAGCCTCTTCTCATCAATCCTTTGTTCTCAGGCCTCACTGACCCAGCCCCCAGCGTTCCTCCCAAAGAGTCTGCCGGGAACAGCCAGTGGCCCCTGTTCCAGGTAGGCGCACACATGACAACACGGAAGCTCGACAACCTTGGCTTACTAGCGTCATCCGTTCCTGACTAGTGCTCAGCTGCAGTTAGCTGCAGCCCTTACCCCCTGGGGCCCTGTCCTCCGAGGGCTGCTTATCCAGTGGGGTTGTAACAGGGCCTCCAGCAAAGGTGTCGGGTGGCGACCTGAAACCCTCTGTACCCTGTGCTCACTCACGCTTTCCATTCCCAATAGAATGGACAGTCGGACCTGGACTTCTTCAGCCCCAAACCTGGGACTGCCGCCTGTAGTCCCCCAGACAGGCCTGACCTTCAGTCCTCAGCTACCCCTACAGGCAACTCCCAGGCTCCGCTGCCGCCCCCCTTTCCAGCTCCTGTGGTCCCAGCCAGCGTTTCTGCCCCCAAAGCAGGCTTTTTGTTCCCCACTGGACTAGCCCCAGCTTCGGCCCCAAAGGCTGAGCCCACAGCCCCCGGGTACCATGGCTCAGCTTTGGGCGACAGCACCCCGCACCAGCTGGATGTGCTCGATCAGCTTCTGGAAGAGGCCAAAGCGTAACGAGTGGGAGAGGGGGGGTTGGGGAGGCTTGGGCCTGGGCTTGGTAGAACCAAAGGCAGCTCATGGGTTGGGGTGCTCCCTTGTGGTCTGACCTGTCAGGCCGGAATCTGGAAGCTAGGGATGGGGTGCGAGCCAGCTCTGGCAGGGGGCAGGGGTGTGCTTTGTGAGGGGTTGACCCAGCGGCTGTGCCTGGTCTCTGACTTGCCTTGTCCTTCCTGCCTCCCAGGACATCAGGCCTGGTGAAACCCGCCTCCTCCCCTCCGATCCCCACCAGCACCTCAGCTAGGCCTCTCCTGCCCTTCTCCACAGCGCCTGGCAGCCCTCTCTTCCAGCCACCTGTCTTCCCGTCCCAGGGCAGCCCCATGAAGGGGCCTGAGCTTTCCCTGGCCAGTGTCCATGTCCCCCTGGAATCGATCAAGCCTAGTAGGTGTTGGAAGCTTGGGGCGGGAGGGGTAGCAGGGCCCACAGCTTGCAGTGCTGCGTGGAGTGTCAGGCGGGTGGGTCGGTCCAGGCTCTCCCTGCTGGGGTCCCTTAGTCAAACGTAACCCGCCTTCTTGTCGTCTTGGCCTCTGCTTGTTGCTGCTGTGCACCCTTGTGACGTTCTGACAGCTCTTCCCCAAGCTCCTCCAGGGAGCCCCGTCACCACATGGGTGCGCACTCTCCCCACTTGGCTGCAGCAGGCATCCCCAGGGCTGCTGGGTAGTGCAGAGCTGCCTCCTCCCGCACCCACATGTCGCATCCTTACAGGCAGCGCCCTTCCTGTGACCGCCTATGATAAGAATGGCTTCCGCATCCTCTTCCACTTTGCCAAGGAGTGTCCCCCAGGACGGCCCGATGTGCTGGTGGTGGTGGTGTCCATGCTGAACACGGCTCCCTTGCCAATTAAGGGCATCGTGCTGCAGGCCGCAGTGCCCAAGGTACCCCGGGCTCCTGGGGCCTCTAGAGGCAGAAATTCCCTTCATCTTGGACCCACTGTGTTGAGGGCTTATATGGCCAGCAGGTGGCAGTGTGTCTGTCCACTGTGACCAAAGTGGGTCTCATCTCAGGGCACCTGCCATCTCTCCATAGGACCTTCTCTTTCTTTTTAGTCAATGAAAGTGAAGTTACAGCCACCCTCTGGGACAGAACTCTCTCCATTTAGCCCCATCCAGCCACCTGCAGCCATCACCCAGGTCATGCTGTTAGCCAATCCACTGAAGGTGAGCTAGAACCGGGGGTCCCAGCCTGAAGCCCCAGATTGAGACCTCGGGACCATCACCTTCCAGCCTTTGCCCCTGGCTAGAGGCCACCTCCCAACCAGAAGTGTTTTTACTGTAACATTAACCCCTGTCCATTCCCTACTTTGATTCAGTGGCTGAGCAAGGATGGGGTGGCCGGAAAGGGCCCTGGGGGTAATGGAGTCTCACTCATGGCCCCTCTGTCACAGGAGAAGGCGAGGCTTCGGTATAGGCTGACCTTCGCCCTGGGGGAGCAGCTGAGCACGGAGGTGGGTGAGGTGGACCAGTTCCCTCCAGTGGAGCAGTGGGGGAACCTATGACGCAGCAGGATGCTGTCATCTCCACTTTGAGGCCCAAGCAGGCTGCCCCGAGATGGGAAGGCTCTCCGGGTCCAGTCATTCTCATGTTCTGACTGCAGTGCTTAGAGCTTTGGTGTGGAATGGGCCCTGGGCACTGCTGCCAGGAGCTGAGCTGCTGCTGTAATGGTCTCTCCTTTGGCCCCTTAAAAGGACCTGTTTTATCTACCTGTGTGACTTGAAGTGGCCGTGTACTGTCAGGTGGGATGTGGCCCCAGACTCTGCACTACTGCCCTGGGAACATGGACCCAGTGCTGGACGAGGGTGTTCCCCTCACGCGGGCATCCCGATGCCGCAAGGGAGGAGGTCTCTCAAGAGACTTGGGGCCCTCGAGAACCATGTCGTCACACCCCCATTGCTACTCTGTGCTTCCCCTTCTGGCAGGCTCCTGCTCCTACCTCCATGGAGGTGGGCAAAGCCGTGGTCCCAAATGGGCCTGGCACAGAGCAAGGAGTTGGTGTGCTGCTTCCCTGGACAGCAGCATCCTGGAATGTGTGCTTGTCCCTGGCGGTGGCAGACTGTGTCCTATGGACCTCTGGGCAGGATGTGGCTCTCAGCCTGTTAGAAACATAACTTGGCCTCAGGGCAGCCTAAACTAAGGATAGGAAAGAAAATGGAAGCGAACCCGTGTTCCCTCTTCTCTGGAAGCAGGTACTCAGAGCTTTCTGGGAAAAGTGTGCCTCCCACCATGGGAACAGGCCATCCTACTCACTACCTCTTGCTTGGCATGAAATAAACTGCTGTCTTGCCCTTCAGGTCTCTGAAGGGGGAGACAACTCCTGCCACCCTCTGTGTCCTGCTTCGGCCTCCCTCTCCTCCCACAGATGGCCTGTGGTGTGGCATACCGTCAGAATCAGTAGGCCTCAGGGTCAGGCACGTTGCACTAGACTTAAGTCCCTACCTGCTCCCAAAAACTGACTGTCCTCAGCTGCTGAGGGGTCCTGTCAGCAACATGTTGGGTCTGGAGGTGGTGAGATTAAGGGCATGCTTGAATCGAGTCACCAGACCCTACCGCTTCAACAGTGCTCAGCCTCAGGCGGCGTGTGCTGGGACTGTAGGCCTCCCGAGGAGCAGGAAAGTGAGAACCATCAGCTGTGGGAAGAGCACACAGCTCACCTGAGCTCGGCTGGACGGGTTCGGAGCCATCTCCAGGGGAAGGTGACACAAGCTGCGCTCCCTGACCTTCCAGGCGTCCTTACTCTGTCGAGAGGTCATCTTCCCCTCCCCCACCATCTTTAGTAAGCAGGTTTCACTGCTTCATTAGGATAAGTCAGAAGTGAACTGAGCTCACTCCTTAAGGAATAAAGGCAGAGCTTTCCAGAGACCGGCTGCTGCAGCCCTGGAAAGGTCTGAGATTACCACATGGAAATGGATCTTTATACTAAGCTTTAGACATTAAAATTATTTATGAGTGTTACTCGTTACTGGTGAGGTCACTGATTGATGACAAACATCTATACTGGATATATATATATATATACACACCAACTCTGCTGCCCTTGTTTTGCTGCATGTGAAATAAAAACATTTTCACCCTCCTTGGAATCCTTCTACTATAGACACCATTCACCCCAGTGGGGTGGGGAAGTGCCACGTAGGAATTCCAAAAGTAGACATCACCCAGGTCGTTCAAAAGTACAGCTCCCTGAACCTGTTTCTTTTTTAAAGGAGATAACCTGAAAGTTAACAGATGAGTATTTCAGATGATACTGAGGTGAGGCCTGATTTCAGAAGCACAAATAAGCACTGAAGGCTCCTGTCCCAAGTTTGTCATTACAGGCAGGAGGGCACTGCACTCACCAGTCATAACCTCTGAGGGGGGCTTTTTCTCTAAGGAGACAGGGAAGTCAGTTCCATGTCAAAGAAAACAACAACTAGCTGAACTCTGCAAGAACTTGCCTTATATTTAGAAAAGAAAACATTTTTTCTTTAAAAATGTATATACACTGCCATACAAAGATACCATGCTGGAGCAGCTCTCACTGGCCTCATGAGCCTCCCAGTGAGCCTTCTTTTACAATCGCCCGAGCAAGATTTCGTGCCAGAGCAAGTCTCAGCATTTCCACCTTGGTGGTCTCGATGTCATCATCCTAAAAGCAAAGAGAGCCACATGAGGCAGCGCAGGGAGTGATCCTTGGCTCCCAAAAGCTCTTATCTAACCCCAAGGCAGAGAGAGGGCGCTGAACTTTAGGTAGCAGCTTCCAGCAAGCTCCCCAGGGCTGCATGCAAAAAGAACCGCTGCAACTGGGCGACAGGAAAGAAAAACAACCAGAACACTAGAATCACCCCTATTTTCTCAAAAGGAGTTGGTGTGTCAGTTACAGGTTAAGAGGTACTTTAAGAGGCATATGAGTTTGTAAGGGGCCAGCGCTTGCAGGGGGAGGTGGTGGGGAGCCTGAGGTGGAGGGCGCATTTCCTTAGCTCCACTGTGGGACCAACCCAGAAAGCCAAAATGACCTGGAGCTGCAGAGCGTCAGGCTCTCCATGCACTGGCCTTCCTGATCCTGAGGTCAAGTCCTCCAGACATCTCATCAGCTCGTACGTTTTCTCTGCTGAAAAAATCACCTAGGAGAGAGGCGGCTTCACTTAGCTGCTCCCCAGCTGAGGCCTGAACTGGTTTTGGCCTGAGCCCAAGTTCAGAGACAGCCTTCCCTGCATGCTCTTGGAGGGGTGTACTTTGTATATGCAGCCCTGGGAGTGCAGAGCACCCCTATTCTCAGTCCCAGCCCTGGGCTGGGTATGCTCAGTAGACAACTGCCTCATTTCAAATTAAGTAGTTTTTCTCGTGTGGGTATTAGATTTCCACAGTAGATGCTCTGGGGGCTATGTGCACACAGAGCCCCCTACTTGGGATATGAGGTATGTGTACATGTCTGCAACCGCTACAGAATGAAGCACAGTCAAGGACTACGAAACTCAGAGAAGACAATCACTGTACCTGTTTCTGTTCCAAAAGGGGTAGGGCATCTGTTAGGAGTGTCATCCAGAAAGACCGTGGGGCAATCTGAGAAGTCATCAATGACAGGAGAAGAGAAGCAGCATCAACAAAACGCTTCTCTCCATATAATCGGTGGAACTCACGGTACTTTCCTATCGAGAAAAGAACACTAGGTCACCTCTGGCCCTAAACAAAAATAGGCCCCAGACCAGCCATTCCAGAGCAGAGAGAGTTCCAGAGCTGTCTCCAAGCTCACGGACCAACGAGACCAAAAGGATTCAAAACATGCTTTGAAGGGGCTCCACTTGAGCCAAACCTGGGAAAACGTAAGCATCAAAATAAACCAGAGTCGGGGTTGGCCAAGTTGCTCAGTTGGTTGAAGAGCTTGCTCAAGAGTGCGAGCTCTGAGCAACAGGGTTGCTGGTTCAATTCCCACATGGGCTAGTGAGCGGCACCCAAGCTGAGCTGTAGCTGAGCTGCCAACAGGTGGCAGGATGCCAGGTGAGAGCACGCGCTCCTAACAACAAGGTTGCCTGTTCGATGGTGAGCTACGCCCGCCCGCAGCTAAGACTGAACTCCACACCTTGAGCTGAGCTGCCGCCCAGATGGCTCAGTGGATAGAGCGTGTGCTCTTAACAACAAGGCTGCTGGTTCAACTCCCTCATGGGATGGTGGCTACGCCCCCCCACAACTAAAATTGAACACAGCACCTTGAGCTTAGAGGCCACGAACTGCCAACGGGAAGCCAGACGGCGACTGGCGCCCTCCACAACGAAGACTGAACAACTTGGCTGGTCCCCTTCCCCAATTCCCCAACACTGTTCCCCTCCCCCAATTCCCCAATAAAATCTTTAAAAATAAACAAACAAGTAATGTGTTATAAGAGGTTGAATAAAAGAACCCATGAGTCCATTCTGATGTAAATGAAAGAATAAACAGGGATGAAGGAAAAGCTTCCATATGGTGGAAATGTCAACTAAAACAAGGAATGTAGGTGAAAGTTTGATGAGGAAAAAGATTTAAATAATCCCAAAGTTTCTCTCCACAAATCATTCTATCAAAGGGCAAATCAGTGCTGCATGGAGGAGACACCTAGTGAATGCCACTTTAACCAAGTGATCAAAATGAACACCAACAAGGGGACACACAGCACCAAAGACACCTCACCTCGGTGGCATTCCTGCACCAAATACAATCAGAATCTGATCACGAGGAAAATCAGATAAACCCAAATTGACATTCTACCAGAGCGCTGAACTGACTCTTCAAAGTGCCATGGTAAAGAAGCACCAAGAGGGCCGACCGAGTGGCGCGATGGTTAAGAGCTGGCTTGGGACGCCAGAGGACCCCGGTTCGGATCCCACCAACTTGGGCCAGTGAAACAACATCCTCCACAACTAGACTGAAGAACAAAAGGACAGCAACTTGTCTGTTCCCCTTCCCACGATTCCCCAGTGCTATTCCCATCCCCCCAATTCCCCAATAAAAATCTTTAAAAAAAAAAAAAGAAGCACCAAGAAAGGAAGAGGCACTTAGAGACATAACTAAATTCGTGAGCCCGCACATGATCAAGGGCATTATGGGACAACTGGTATAATGAGAATACAGACTGTGGACTAGATGAGAGGATCATATCAACGCTGAATATCCAGATTTTGATAAATGTGATATGAGAGAATGCTCTTCTTAGGAGCATTCTTATAAACATGCTCAAGTGTTTATAGAGGGAAACAATGTCGCCAACTTACTTTCAGATTGTTCCCCAAAAACCTGACTAGACGAGAGAAGGATAAAACAAATGAGGGAAAATATAAACAAGTGGTGAATCTGGATAAAGTGTATATGGGTGTTCCTAATTCCTTATCCTACTTTTGCAACTTTTCTCTAAGTATGAATTTACTGCAAAAGAAAATCTTCTGAAAAATATGCTTTGCAGAACCTGGCACACAGGGTTCCATGTGGTTTGGAGTGTGGGCTTAACAGAAAGGAAACACTGGAGAAGTTTAGTTAGTCCCTCCCATCTCTACAACTGTCTATTGGTGCTGAAAGTACAGGGCACAGAGCCCAGCGAGACTCACCCAGGAATGTCAGACGATCACTGAGCATCATGGCTGGCCCCAGGTTGTCAATAAGATCCAAATCGGAAAAGCAGCCTCGTTCACAGTAATCCCTGAGGAACCTGTAAGGCCCACGGATATCAGAGCAGCAGTCCCAGGTCCACCTCAGCCTCCCAACTTCCCCGACAGTCCCCGGGAAGCCAGCACTGGCTGAACCCACCTGTCTGACACCAGCGTGGCAAAGGCAGCATCTTTGGCTCGAATGCTCCACGAGAGGGCGGAGCCCAGGCGATTGTTGCGAACAGCTTTCATGGCTAAAATCTTACAAATGCTGCGAACTTTGCAGTCGAAAGGAGAAAAGGCAAACCTTTCACCTTACAGATCACTCCATTCCTGAACCCTGCTGGGGTGGGGGCAACCTTCCCACCTCCTCTCAGCCTTCCACAGCCTCCCCTCCTCCCGGGCTCCAAATACAGCTTGGTCAGCAGAACAGGGAACTTGGGTTTATAAATTGTCTCCTGGCTGTTAACAGTATGACCCACACTGACAGGACTGGCTCTGTGAGTGGGTTTGATTTCGGGAGCGACAAGATTTTTATTACTCCCCACAGATCAGCTCCTCCATTATCTGTCCAGGTGCCAAAATCCTATCAGCCTTTAGGTCTTGAATGCCATATGCTTTCAAAGACAGTCCTAAACATGCCAGTGCCTCTGGGAAGAATAACAGTTTTTTTATCAATCAACAGTGAGGGAAGAGAAGGGGCAAACTTCATCGCTGCTTCCTTCCTGGGCCCTTCCTGAGCCAGGTCCTGCGGTCCCAGAGCCAGCCTTAAGCTAGCAACAGCAACCCACTTGGGACAGGGAAACTCAAAGCTGACCCCAGCCCTGACCTCTTGGAGTAAGTATAAGAGGTCAGGATCCTTTTGAAAGGCAACATGCTTGACTGCTTCTAGGACCCAGCGGCTCCCTAGCTCCTTGTCCCTTCCCAGTAATTTTCCTGTGTTTTTGTTTACTTCTTGGCATCCACTGCCAGGCCTCTTCCCAGTGCCAGGAGGGCCACCTCACCTTGCTCAGTCATCTGCCGCTGCTCGCAAATCCGCAGAACCTTAAGTGCTTTCTGCTCAGTGCTCAGAGGGATCCGCTCAATGTGCAGCTCCAAGGAGACTCGGCCCAGCTCAGGGCAGTAGTCAAAGTAATCCACCCCCAGCTGCCACAGGCTGCAAAGGTCCAAGGAGAACAGATGTTAGGGCGCTGCTCTGGGGCTTGGCATCACGACATGGCTCCTCCCCAGGACCCCTGTAGCCATCGGAGAACCAAACAGGAGAGTGGAGTCCAAGTCCAAGCTCCAATGGCACCCACGTGCTGAAGAGCACCCTGCTGTCTCCCCCTGGGGCCTTCCTACCTGTGATGAGCAAACAGCCCC